TATAGCTTATAAAAACGAATGAAAAATATATGTGTATAGCACGGAACAAACCACGGACGATTGGATATGAAAGAGTAATGTAAATACGTTCGTATTGCGTTTCATTGTGAGCTCGTTGAATTTGAATTGCTCCAAATGTATTCCGCAAATTTACATTAAACCTGAAAACAAACATATTATTAATTGTGTAATAATGAGCCACTGCTCAAATGGAAAGGCGCCCATGCAAATGTGACAGATAATAGCGTTTTCGATTAGTTGTGGTTTTTTAAACACATTTCTTGATGTGAATTTTGTGGTATTGGATTTGCAGTATGCTCTTTGAAGCCTAACGATTTTCACTGCACACAAATTTCACACGTTATCGGAAGGTAATTTCAAAACATAAAGCAAGAATTCATCAAGTGGTTTGTTGGCCTATTCAGACAATTTTTGCCCTTTTACGATCTTGGGAATATAGGGTCAGTTGGCTATGTTTGCTTTCTGTCTTTGTGCGACTGTTTTATATTTGTTAGCAGTCATCAGTACGGTAAAGGTGTTGTCTAGGAGACGGATGACGGAAGTCAAACATGATTTGCAGTCCAGTGACGAACAGTTATTATTCCTTCATTCACTAGATAAAGGAAGCAAATAAATTATCAAGTAACACTTTGTTGTGTTACGTAACTTTTAAGATATCATAGCTATTCATTATTCATTTAATTCAAGTTTCATTTGACCCTTCCGGGTGATCTCGAAAAGAGCAAGGCTCCATACAAGTCCAATATGATGTATCGTAGCTTAACTCTAACAGTGTGGAAAAAATACCTGCTTATTTTAATTAAACTACATATAAAGGTCTTTTATTTAAATGAAGTAATAATTAATTATAATAATATATTCTCATAAAAAAATGCGCAATAAAGATAACTTGAAACCTACCGTAAAACTAAGAATGTATCCATAAAAATATTTTAAATATGATTTAATATCAATGTGAAATATGTTGCCGACATTAAAAATCTAAAGTGTAACGCAATATCTTATTTTTGGATCACACGGTATTGTACGGCTATAGATGAAAATATATAGAAATCAAAGTTGACGTGTTCGAGCGTTTTTCCCAGGAGGGTAACAAATAGGGGTGCGACCTTTTTGTCGGGCCACTCTGTATATAAAATAAGTCTTGCCCATTTTAAGTAGGAGTCTATGAATTCTCCGAGGCATTTTAATGTATCAGCTCTAAGAAAATTGTTTCTTGGCCACGATGTCCACCAAAAAGCGTTTCAAATAAGGCAAAGGTTTTTAAAATCGACTGTTAGAACGTTAAAAGTTTGTTGTCAAACCAGTTCATGATCTTCGTCATTTTAGCAATTTGTTTCAAAGTCCGCCTTGTAAACAAAATAAGGGTGTCATTTACAAAACATGATTTTTCCAATACTATAATTGAATTAGTCGTTCAGATATACGTTAAACAGAAAATGACCCAATACCGTTTCTTGAGGAATACATTTTTTGATGATCATTTTTTCACTGTATGAAACAGAAAGTCGATCGGGACTTGAACAGACCAGAACAGTATTTGTTACCATCATTTTTAAAATTTGCTCAATTAACGCATCAACCGTAACCACCACCATATGATAATGACTAAGGTGACGTAGGCTCCAGATAAAGGTAGAAATTATTCATATAACCATTTCAGCACCTACCTTCATGAAAAAATCTTGTTAGGTCATATTATTGTTCCGTGTCAGACATTCTTCTGACTGGCAATTTGACACAGACAGTATTTACGATTGTTGGAACCTTAATTATGATAAATGGCTCTGCAACCCCATTTTATAAATTATCTGAATAAATTCTGCCAACGCAACGTTGAACTAATCATTTTATATTCTATATTTAGCAGAGAGCTCCAAACAGTTTAAATGTTATTTACAGATGCAGTATTTCTACCAAATTAACGATATACTTCGATGGGCAAATTGCTGAAATCTTAATAAGCGTTTCCAAAACTTTTACAGGGCGCCTTTTTATTAGTATTCCGTAAGAGGAGAACGTGTATTTTTTTAATACCGAAGCAGCCGAGGTAGCGAAACTGCTAAACAGATGCGAGGCACTTATTGATCCGACATTTGAACTGCCTCTGGTAAGTAGAACTGGATACAACATCCTGGAGCAGATTGTTCTCTTGACACTCAAGATACAAATGATATTACTAGGAATTACTTCCTTGCCCTATATTTATCTTTTTCTAGGAGCAGACCCGATTGACGATCTACAGGGTGTTCCTTAATTATATGCGAATATTTAAGGGTGTGATTCTGCATGAAAACTTAATGTTAGTTTGCTCAATAAACTATGGCCCAAAACTGTTTCCTTACAAGAACTCGGGGTGTTAAAGTTTTAGGAAAAAAATGGAAATTAATTAATATTTTCAGAACCGCTCCAGATATTTCACTGATATTTAGTACGTAGTGAAAGTTAATAAAGTTGCATATTTTTTATTGCAAAAATAATTTTTAGCTTTAACAGTGGCGTGCGTACGGGTATTGACTTCGATATTTTTTGAGAAAAAAATTGTACGTCAATGGTTTTTTGTCAAATAGAAATTATTTTTGAATTCCCCGTTTAATTCAAAACAAATGATCTCTCTTGAATTGTTATCATTCGAAACGCCCTTTTTGAGTAAAAAAATAAAAACCGTTCTATTGTCCGAGAAAATTAATGTAATAATTGAAGAATGCAATTTAGCTATAAATATCTAGTTGATCTGGAGTATGTCACTGGCTTTTGACATCTGACACGTTTCTGTTATTCGAATCTGTTCACTGTGACATCTTTTTCATTATTTAGTTTTTACAGTCTTGTTAATAATGGTGAGCAAGCCAGACGGATTTTTCACCAGATATATCCTGATCGTGCTTTGCCAGATAGTGAACCTTTTCTAATATTCATCGTCGTCTTGTTGAAACTGTTTCTGTCCGAAAAGGAACATCTGAAGGTAGACCTCTAAGTGTGAGAATACCTGAAATTGAGTAAGCAGTGGTGCGCGAAGAGGAAGAACATCCTGAAACGAGTACGAGGAAGATCGCTAGATACTTAAATATTTGCCATCAAATTATTTGGAGAATTTTAGTGAATATTTTTGTTATATCCTTACCATATTTTAAGAGTACAGGCATTATCTCCCATTGATTAATTAAAATTACACAAAATCCGCAATTTGAATCAATGACTCTGTTCACGGACGAAACTAATTTTTCTCGAAATGCCATTCAGAATTTCCACAATAATCGTTTGTGGGCAGAAGAAAATCCTTATGCCGTAACTGAAACCCATTTCCAATACCAATTTTCGGTTAACGTATGGGCAGGAATTATTGCCAACCACTTTATTGGCCCATTCTTCTTGCCGGGACGAATTGACGGACATACTTACCTCAATTTCCTTCAACAACAGTTGCCTTTGTTGCTTGATGATGTTCCGTGGGCCACAAGAATGGCCACCAAGGTCCCCAGACCTCAACAGTTTAGATTCCTTTTTGTGAGGCTATCTTAAGACACTGTTGTACACAAGTACCATTAACACTGAAGAGGAATTAATAGTAAGAATAGTTGCAGCTTGTGATAGAATAAACAATACTCCAGGATATTTAAACGAGTGCGCAATTCCATGAGAAGGAGGGCGGAAGCATGCCTACTAAGTGAAGGGGGCCATTTTCAACATTTTTTGTAATCATTTCGCTGGTCGTAGTGTTATGTTTATGTTGTCAGCTGTTGTTGTTCGTTACCGCTAATGTGTTTAATAGTTACAATTAAATTAATAATAATTTTGCAAGTTAGACAATTTACTCAAAAATGGCGCATCGAAGGAAAACAATTCAAGAGTATACCGACCTTCTAAGTACATCCAGGCTTTTATAATTTTACGTACACATCTACTTTGCCCGTACTGTATAAAAGTATGCCTATAACTGGCAGGTACTACCTGTCCTTCATTCGATAGTGTTCTGCAATCTATCGAGAGAAAGTCCTTTCTTCAATAACCGTAACAATTCCAAAGGTCGTATTAATTCTGGCTGGGAAAAAAAGACCATTAGAGTCAGCTGTAGCTTATGCAAACCTCCATCATATGGCCTCCCAGAGAAAGCTAGCAGATGGGCGGTTGACGTTCTTTCTAGCCGCAGGATATCTCTCGTAATTGCTGTGTTTTTCATCCCGTAGTGGTAACCTGGGTGTATGTACCTACCCATCGCTTACATGCAGGAACTCAAAGCGACAAGCCGATCTCTGCCGGAGAGCTGGTGAAAAGAAGACTAGCCGAGACTTGCTCTTTGACGAAAGACTGCTTCGGGACCTAACAAAAAGCTTAGTGCTCGCAAGATCACCGATGACTCGATTTGGCACAAAGATGTCTCATCAATAGTGTCAGCTACAGGGGAAAAGCTAATCTATTTGTTTATGGCTAAGGTGTACTTTTCTCCTTATACCTCCTCATTCTGTTCAAGGTCCAGGTAGGTAAGACTTAGCATCGAGTACTGCTCACTTATTCCGGGTACTACCGCTGCGACTACATTATCCATGCTGGATGCTGTTCAGGGGAGGGCTGTCCGACTATTCGATGAGGCTTCTCTAAAGCCTTATTTACACAGGTCAAGTAAACCGTCAACTTGAGCAGTAAAGTCAAGTATTTTTTTCTACTTGCATCGTCTAAACAACTTCGGTCAAGTAAAGTAGCGACTTGCGTCAAGTGACGAGGCAAGTCAAAAGTAGTTCTGCATGGTGAACAAGTAACTTTACTTGACTGCTACCCCCACTTCACTGGATCGCCAACTTGACCGTCTACTTTATCAATGTAAACAGAAAAAGCAAGAGTAAATAAGTTTTTGCGCATGGATTGTGGATTTGTACTCTGTGTTTTTTCAAATCTTTTACCCATTTTGATCACAGATAAGCAAATAATTTTGATGATTTTGGTATACTACAAATTATGAATTAAGGTTGAATTTCTACAAGATGAAGTGGTCAGAAGAAGAAACCATGCATTTTGTTGAACTCTATAGTGAAAAAGAGTGTTTATGGAAGAAGAGTAGTGTAAATTATCGCAATAAAAACATGCGAAGAGCAGCTGAAGGGGACATCGCGAACAGGATGGAAAAGGAAAGTTTTGGGGTGGCAGAATTAAAGCAAAAAATAAAGATAATGAGAACAACCTGTAATCAGGAAGCGTTGAAGGTTAAAAAGTCAAAGAAATCATGAAGTAAACCGGATGATATATACGTTCCAACTGTCAAGTGGTTCCGACAAATGGAAGAAATAATGGAACAGCTAAACAGCTGAAAATGAAACGAAAAGCATAGTCAAAAGTATATTTTTTTAAATAACTGGTAACTAATTTGTAAAATTTCGTTGCAAAGCCACTGCTCCTTCTTCAGAAATAAAATAATGTCTCATTTTGTTTCGCATGTGTTTTGCTATCTCTGACGCCCTCCTCTCCCGCCCTGTATGCTTCTGAGTTCTCGTATCTCTTGTCTCCACTATCCTGGTATTATATCGCCAGTGTGTTGGTTTTCACTATCAACCAATTGTGCAATATTGAAGTATTGATCTGGTGACGTTTTTCGTAGCCAGTTGTGAATTACAATTGCAGCACTAACCAGTTTATTTACAGAGGAAACTTTTATCTTTACTTTTGTTTCAAAAACACGAAATCTACTTGCTAAGATTCCAAAATCATTTTCCACTATTCATTCTTCTGGCAGGACTAAGCCGATAATTCAAAATCTTTTCTTCATCGGTAAGAGGTAGTCGGTATCTACTATATGGTTTAAGTAGATAGGGTTTTAGTGGAAAAGCATCATCACCAACTAAAAAGTAACCATCGCGTAGTAATCCTTCTTCTAGAGCTCCTGAAATTTCGGTGTTTTGAAAAATACCACCATCTTAGTTAGATCTCCTTGTCCCTACTTTAAAATAAGAAAAACAGTAACTGTGATCTACAATTGCCATTAGTACCACGCTGAAGGAGCCTTTATAGTTAAAGTATTCACTTCCAGTATGTGGGGAGCCTCGATCAAGACATGTTTGCCATCAATGGCACCACAACAGAAAGGAAAATTCCATCTTGCTTCAAACCCATTCGCAACTTTTTTCCATGCATCATGTGTATCAGGAACCTGAATAAATAAACAAAAAATAAAAATTACTCCTTAAGCAAATGAGAAATATTAACTTAGTAATACATTCATTTTAGGAAACACAAATCGATCCACCTAGCGAAAATGAACAATGTCTGCTGGAGGAACAAGTCACTGAATAACCGTCTCCAAATTTCTCGCAGACTTCTATAAGACCTTCGACCAGCAAAACATGCTCCCGAGTAGAATCGACTGGTAAAACAGGTTCTCGAGTAGAAACAGGATCAAAAATCTATATATCTATAAAAATAGAAGCACTAACCGCTGCTGTTGCAGAGGTCCGAAAAGTCCAGGAAACAATAACTTCTGAATCCATCAGTGACCATGAAGCTTTTGGCAAATTCATTGCATTGCTGATTCAATTATGACGCAAGGTGAAATTCAAAGAGTAATACAAAAATATCGATTGAATGCCTTAAATAAGAGCAGTTCTGCTTCTGGGGCTTCCGCATTAACTGCAATTCAATCACCTGCCCTTTCTTGGGATTCATCTCCTGCAACTACTCCTGCATACAGCACTAATTACCCGGTCATGAACGGGGACAAATGATGTTGCTTCTATCGGAGGATATTATCTTGCAAGCATGGAACTTGACAAACCAAATGTTACAATTGAATTTGTTTCTTTTTTTATTAAGAAGCCTAAATAAAATTTTAAAAATGTTCTATTATCTGTTCACATACATTTACGACATCCTTTAAGCAGTCATATACAGTTTCACAAATAATGGGAATCATGATAGATATCGCTGATTTAGAAACTCGGAAGAGATGGGAAAGGGTTCTGTAATTATTACCAGATGCTAGGTAATTCAAGGTTACTTCCAACATTGTTTCTGGTTTGATAGCGTCTCTCATAATAGTGTCCTCTCGTTGGATTAATAGAGTCATTAAGCCTAACAAATAGTCAATTTTTTTTTCTTCAGGACCTTCAAATCTCGGCTCCCTTATTAAATTGGTTGAAGCTCCTTGACTTTCTCTCCGTGCAAGCCAATCTCGGCACCATATCCTTTTTTCAGGATTTCTCTCTTCCTCCAAAACTTCTTCCAGTATTTCCAGGAGACTGTTTGTGAGATTAATAACACAACTTCGTACGACAATACGACTTTCCACCATGTTTTTAACTGTCGACTTGCACATCTACTTGACTACGTGGAAACGTGCTTTTTGGATCAAATTGTGAATCAAGTAAAGTAGAATGCAACCACGCAAGTACAAAGGCAAGTAACTTGACCCTTTACTTGACCCGTGTAAACCCGGCTTTACGGGCAGCTTTGGGACTCTTTAGCACCAACATTGCCAAAGGGCTTTACTTCTCAAAGCTCTCCTCCATGATGTCGTCGCGCGATGTGGCGCCTGACTTTGATCTCTCACCGTAATCGTATCGGACTTCGCACATCCAGAACTGACCGTTTTTTTGTCCCTAGGATATCGAGAGTATGGAATAATCTTCCTGAGGAGGCTTCTCCCAGTTGAAACAACTTTAGGCAGTCCAAGAATCAGATTAAAAAAGCTTTTTTAAGCTCCTCATAGCAGCTGCGGTGCGATGGCATTCAGACTTGAGCCTACGGGGCTGCTTCGGTATAAAAAGAACATAACCTCACCGAGTCACTTTACACGCTACCATAAATAGTCGCTGCTTGCCTAACACTAAAGTATTTGCCAGGGCAATGATGTTAACAGAATGATGTTAATAGTGCGCTTGTATCACCCTATTTGTCTCAGCATTTTCGTCATTGCCCCGTTATAACGTTATTGCCTGGATCATAGCCAGTGTCCGCAATATCTATATTATGCAGAGTGTTTCAAGGGAGTCAGATGCCAGATTCCGATTTAAGCTCGCTCATAGAAATAGTCGACAACAAAAATACAACTAGTCTGACTGGCCAAACCTCCTTTCTTTCGATACAAGCTGCCCCCATGCGATTGGACGCAATAGAAGCGATACCATGCCACCATTTTCTAATTTTGGAGACAATGGTGCGACTTAGACAGGACTCTGTTAAAGTGAGCAGCCGGCCGTTCTCTAGGGATTTCATATCTCAATTTCCGGTGTTTGGAGCAGGTAGAAAGGCAGGCGGGATCGGCAACGGAAACGGGATAGAGCGTTGATCCCACTGGGGAGAAATTTCACAATTCGCCTACAGTGGCAGCGGTCTACTGCTACAGTTCGATGGTAAAATGGTATGGCAGGTGCCATGCTTTTGTGTTGCAGTATCGTACACTTCAGTTCATGTTGATTCAGCTAATCGAATTGGGCTCTGTCGAGAGTGAAGTATCGTATCAAAGCTTATTGCCACACTGACATAGACTTGGCTGGATATACAAATATTTTGTTGGCGGTCATGGAGATCAGAATGTCAAGACCTTTGGATGTATAGGCACCTGTATGCATTACTATTCCTCTTCTGTTTCAACTACAAACGGAACCCCTAATTTTTTGTGTGAGCTTTGAACTGACTACGAGTAGGAGGACCAGGAAAGATTGATCTAAGTAGATGGGTTTAGTTTTAGAAAGCTTTATGAATAAATGAGCGTATCGACCAGTTATAAATGTATAGAGCTCGAGCAGTATGGAATATGAAGCAGCAGAAATTGGTACTACGTATTGGTAGAAAAGCGCATGATGACATCAACTCCTGGCGTACTTTTGTTCTTGTGCAGGCAATTAAGCTTCACTAAATTTTTGATAACCGGAGAAATCACCATTACTGACTGCACTGTCCCACAAAGAGTTAGTTTTTTCTCCCTCTTGTAAGTAGTCATAACAAAAAACCAACTATTAGTGCGGTGGACAAAAAGGGAAACATCACCGGACAGATGGTGGTGTATAGACGTGTTCTCTATTGTGAAATATGTCATGTGTAGTCAACTAGGGCCTAGCTAAGTTGCAAATATTTCACTGTCATTTGCCAAATTGTTCCTAAAATGTTTGTCGCTGAGTTTACTATCCGTTTACTGTTCGACGTCTGCCACATGTCGCTATCATCGGGCTTGCACCGAATATAGATAAAGTCATTTGAAAGTGTATCTTGGTAGCTTCATCATCTCTATGTCTATACAGAGTAGGATTAAGATTAGGATTTTGATAATTCTAAACATGAGACACTGATATCGTGGCGCATTGGGTGAGGGATCATCTACTTTCAGCCCTTGACAAGATGAAAAGAGACAACTCTTAAATGCGAGATGCCCTACAGAATTTCTAAAATCAAATTAAAGGGTTTATATCGGTAAATACAACTCCAAGTCCTACCTATTGGAAGGATTGACTCATCCTGTAAAGAGGATGCTATCGGGAACTTTGAACCTCAATCCTAAGATCACAAGTCCTCGATATAAACGTTCTGAATGTCAGCCTGACAACTAAACCTTATGTGCCTAAGCATTTGAAAACAAGTGACATTTGATTACCTCAATAATGGAGAAGGTATTGGGAGACGGCTTTTAATGCTAGTAGAATGGAATCACAATAAGCATACGAACTTTACTCCACTTTGAAACTGAAATTGTGCAGTCCTCTAGACAGATCTGCTTCGTATTAGAATTATTTGAGTTGGCCAGTTCAGGACCAGGCTGCTAGATGTTTTAAAGTATTTGTAAAATGGATATGGAACGTCATAATCGTTGCATCACTATAACTGACATGAGTAAAACTATTGATTGGTTCTACCGTAATGAATGGTAGGCCACCAAGTGGAACAGAAACAAAGTAAAAGCTAAAAAAAATTCATTTGGACCACCTACAAACCTTCCCTATATGATGGCCTTGGGATGAGTACTAGCTAAAGAGAGGACCTACTCGACAGGAGGCTTTCTTAATATCAAGAGCAATAGGTGAGTCTGTTCCAGCGACTAGTGCCATAAGGTATTATGACTCTATTCTGATGTCCTGATGTCTTTACTAAGTCATTTCTTTGTACTGAAGCCACAATAAAAGCAGCACAAGTATTGACACCACAGGACAAAATCACTGAAGGATGTCTTTTCCAAGTAACGGAATTAGGCTTTTGTAATCATTTTACTCCGCCAAACAATGGACAGAGTACCGAAACCACATTAGCAAAGATATTATCGTATGTTCTCTGTAAGTTGTTTTGTCAATGCACCGATTTTGTTGCAGCACTACCTATTACAGGCGTAAAATATCTCGTTGGAATGTCGCTGCTGAAAATCTGGCTAGAAAAATTTCAGCAGATAGACCGACGGAAAAAACAATAATAGTAAATGGTCTTTATTCATCATTCAAGGCAACTTAAGCAAAAAATAATGCAATGATAAAATGTTGAAACGCGTAGCTCAGCCTAAGCTGCTTTTCAACTAAACCCACAAAAAATAACACTCATACAAAGTATATAAAAAATAATATACAATACGAAATAAAACATATGAGAACTTCGTCAATACCATTTTTATAAAAGCACAACTCACGCAAAAAAGAACAAGACGACGTAAAAAGAAAAATTCTGAGTTATTATACTTCAAAACGTAGCGAGCTCTCGTTATATCTTAGGCTTTGGTTCGTGCAGGAGATCCGGTTTCAATCTTTTTTTCAAAATTTTATAGGCTCAGATTTTTGAGATCTACTGGAATAACCAAAAAGTGTTTATTGCGAGTTACTTTATCAAACGAAAAGCATCCCTTACCCTCTCTCGTCAAAAGTTGAAGAAGATGACCAATCAATGACGTAAAAGTCTGAACGCCACTTCATCAGTGATGGTTTTGGTTATCGACCACAGAAGTAGTCAAATATTATCGTGACGGACTTTAGTCAAATAGATAAAAACCATTGAAACAGCTCAATATACTAATGCATCAACTCTCCCTTAAACTTTCAGTGTATGATGATTGCCAGTGTATGTCATCAATTTCTCTCAATATCCGAAATCCTAGAATGCCTGCTAATGGGAAAATGAAACTGTTCACTGGCAGCCCACCCTCTGCATGATTTGCTGAATGACGCGATAGCATCACTAGCAACAGCATCGGCAGGGTACATCGACCCCGGGTGCGCTAGGTCAGGAGAGGGAAGTCATCGGCGCTGTCTCCCGCCGCAGCTTCAGCTTCGAGCTTCAGCTACTGCCGCCGCGTCGGTCTGTCTGTTTGTCGGTCGGTCGGTCGCCGGCGCCGCGCCGCTCCAGCGCGCAACTGGTTGGACTTTAATTCTTCTGGCTTCCACGTTCTCCTAGGCGCAGGCAGCAGCTTTGCTATGGCTTCTGAAGACAATGTAACCTCATCAGTCCTTGACAGGTGCGCTAGTTATCAGTATTCTTGGAAATTAAATTATACAGGGTGGCCCATAAGTCCTTTGAGCTGGAAAAAAAGGAATAAAACCAAACTAGTTACATTATGAAGAATTATTATATTTTGTTATCATCTTTATTGAATGGGAATTATGTTTTAAAAATCACATCGTCTAAATGCAATCCATTACGATCACGGCACTCATATAAACGACGTCTAAAATTGTCGATGACTGCGCGGCAAGTCAACACTGTAATGCTTGCCATTTCTCTTCGGATATTTTCTTTCAGGACATCAACTGATCAC